CCAGCAGCCTTACCTGGGGTTCTGGGGGCCTCAGGGAGCTCTAGCCACAGCACTCCTGCAACTGGGAGCCTGACCAGCAGCTGGAACATGGCTCTGGCTGGCCAGGCTCCAGTTTTGAGTAGCATGTGCTGCTGCCACATGCATTGCCCAGCTTATTTTTGGTATGTTTTTTTTTGACCCCAGGATGTCCCAGGATCAAAAAAATCCCCCATGCTGCAAGTTAGCAGGGTGGGGCACTGCAAATGGGTCTGCTGTGCCACATACCACATGTCCACACTTATCTGGATGCGGCCTATGGTTTTATATTAGATGTTGAGCAGAAATTCCATCTTGGACATTTTCCAGTAAAAGGTTTTTCAAAATGAGTACATTCCTAATTAAATCTCTAGTATCAATGAATCAGCATTCCCCAATGAAAAAAGATGTCATTAGGAATGTTCCAACCACCTCCAAGTAAGAATGTGATACTCCCTTGCACTCCCAACATTAAAAAAAATTAAATCATTGGGGCACTGGCAGACTATTTTAGAAAAGTAATCTTGTGATATATATATATAGATAGATAGATAGATAGATATAAACATTTACAGTTCAACAGTGCAATGGCATATAAGATGTCTTGTTTATAATCTCTTCATAATTGTACCCTTCACTTGTACCCTTGTAAAACACTTCAGAAAATCTACATGTTTAAAAATGATTTACTCCTAAATCAATTTGGTGAAAAAGAGAACAGGAAAACATATAAATTCAAGCAATAATGTGAAGATGTGTATAGCTGATATTTGAAAGTAGATGGAAAGATGATAGGTCTGCATCCCAAAAGGACAGAGAGAGGTAATTCCCATGCCAAAAATAACAAGAATGTGAAAGACATAAAAGACAGAGTTGTAACTAAACAAGCAGAAGCAGCAGGAAAGGGAGAAAGAGAGAGAGAGAGAGAGGCAGAGTGAGAGAGAAACCGTAAAGCTGGCAGGAATAAGACTGGAGTTTTAGAACTCAGGTGAGTGACTTGTGGACTATAGTGAGCTCTTTGAGGATGAAGAAATGTCATATTTCTTTGCACATGAATAAAGGTGGAGTCACACTATTGTTTATGTTCTGAAGTCTCAAGAACTAGCACTCCAAGAGGTCAAAGACTTGCAGTAATCCAAGTGAGAGGAGAGAAAGTGTGAATAAAGGAAGATGGTGTTCAGATGATAATGCATTCAGGTATTATTGTGATGTGGAGAAGACTGAATAGAAGAAATAAAGTTCAAGGTGAATGATGAGTCCAGCTTTACTGGTAAGGAAGGTGGGAATAGGAAATTTCCCTCACCTGTTGTATGACACTGTTCTTCTACACTATGTGGGGTCAAATTTCAGTCCCTTTTTCCCTCTGCATCCTGGAGTCTGACTTTTAAAAAACATATTAACACTATGGAAAATGCAGTCCAAGCTGCCTCTCTATATTGCTCTGAAGACGCCTGCATCAGGGCAACTTACCCTGTATCCTGGGGTCTTTCTGTCATACTCAAAATGTCTGCGTTTTTACTCCTCCTCTGTGGTGGTGGTAGGTCACTATTAGCTTCAGTCCACACGTGCAGGACACATAATATTACAACTCCCTGCTCTGATCTACCATGAGATTTTCCTGCCACATCCCAGGAGGCAGGAAAAAATCTTTGTCAAGAAAAGAAATATGTTTTATTTGAACCTGCTTTGTTAGCGTATAACATTCATGCTTTTAAGTCAGATAGTAGGAAGTTGAAACTTTATTGCTGTCATAGGATAGGAAGAGATTTTTGATAAAATCAGTGCCACAGCTCTATTTTTTCCTTCTTATAGGTATACTTTATACCTTCTTTTAGAAAGTGCAAAACAAATAGAATGTAGCTGTTTATTCTTATTTCAAGAACTGTACAATAATACAATCAATTTGACTGTACACTGAGTATGAATTCATTCCACTAGATTTCAGAAGTTCAGAAATATTAACCTTTATCTGAAAATGTAGAGATGATGGATCTAGAAATATCCAGTTAATGTATTTCAGCAGTCTGCTTTTCTCAGACCTTTGAACGCAGAGCAATTTTTAAAAAACATACTTTAAACACCTCCAGTAACTCCTAAACTCACAAAATCCTGCCTTTCATTCTTTTGATTATTCACCAGGAAATTCATCAGTCATATTCATGCAGGTATGCAAAAAAAATCTTGTTAATGTACATTAGCAGTATGGATAATCTTGTATATCATCCATATCATTATGTATATATAATCATTATATTATCATTATATATAATATAATCAGAAGAATATATTTAAAGGAGAGTACCACAAGTTATGTTCAACAGGTTGCATTGTATATGTTACCAGAAAGAGACTTCCACAAAAATCATATAGTAAGATTCATTTCTTCCTTCTTCCCATTTATGATACAGATGTTAAATTCTATGGTGTTTCTATCTTGCAGCAAATGTACCTAAACACACAGAGACTATGTGGCCCTTCAGCCCTAATTACTTATCTGTTCCATGACTGCCTTACCATCATTACAGAAGATCCTTTACTCTAGACAACCATGTCCTTAGCACAAATTGGAAAAAATGGCATATAAGCTCTGCTTTCTACAAAGTATTCTACTATCAGGATGGAGCAACTTTGATTAGAAGGGCAGTTTAAACTCCAGTATATATGAGCAGAAGGAATAAACCTCCAAATAGAAAGAACATAGGTCCCCTCACCGTGGTCCACCTCGGCTCCTTTTATGGAGTTTGATGCTTCTTCATACTTGCCCACAGTTGTAAAACTTACTTGCTCCCCCAGCTCTCTCTCAGACATTTATCATCCTCTGCTTATGTTACACATGCCCTTCTGACTCAACCACATCCTTTATCTATTACACTGACTCATCATCAGCCTCTTCACTCAGCTCTGACATACTTTTGTGCACCATTCTACATTACTAGCTCCTCAGTAACTCCTTGCCATATTCTAACTAGTTACGTTCACTCTGAAGTGAACTTGGATTCATGAAAGCTTGTGCTTGCTCTTGTATGCATGCACTTGCCCATGCTCTCTCTTTCTCTAATATATATGCTATTTAGTTAGTCTATAACGGTGCATATCTACCCTGCCTTCTGACTGATTTCAGAATAATACATCTCTCCTTTACCTTTCTCCACTCTGCGCCCCACATTACTAACCTCCCACTCATCCCATGAACTTTATTGCCCATTGCCATCTGCTCAGACTACTGCTATCTCATTCAGGGATATGCAGGATTTAGACAGGCTGTGCTTTTCTTACTATGATGTGGAACGCCCAATGACTATGCCCAGCAGCTGTCTCTCACACAATAACCCCATCATGGAGTGATGATAGCAGGGGATTGACTTCCAAGGGAAGTCAGCAGGGATCCCTTTTTTCTTTTCATTTCCTGGAGGGACTATGTCTCTCAACATTTATTTCACAGTATATCTAGATGGGTGGGTCAGCCATGCCATCAGTATAAAATCCTCTATTGGGTGGTAGTGATAGGGAGCCCAGAACAGTAGGCCATGAAGGTCTTGAAAACTCTAATATCACAGTGGGTTCAACCAAGCAAGAGTTCCAAGATGATGCTATTAGGCCTTATCACCAGTGTCTCTCATTTTATTTTTCATGTCATCTCACTTGCATCAATATCTTCACTCTACAATTACCTTCAAAACACAGGAAGCAATACTGCTGAATGTTGAAATTGTCAGTGAGGCACAATGCACATTAATAAATGTTGCTTTTCAGTGCCTGTATAGCTTAGATGACCCCAAACAGGAAAAATGTTCATAGAGGAGTGATGCTCCTACCCATTTGCATGCCAGTGCATGCATAGTAGACTGAGAAATTTGAATGGGGGAAGTGGTAATAAAAGTACTGTATGCTTGGCGCACAGAAATTCCTCTTTGAACCAGCTACCACATAAAAAGATTTAAGGTCTTAATGAAAGTTCCCTGTTCTCTGCCATAACATAAACTGCCAGATCCAGGTATTATGGGTTGGAGAGGGTACTGTTGTGGGTCTTGAGACACTTCCCATCCCCCTTGAAATCTGGTAAATGACATTCACTAATCCTTTCTTGGAAATGTGTAAAAAGGATTTCCATAGATAGTCTTCAGAGATTTCCTGTTTTCTCATGTGTGTAATAGGTTGGGTCAAGGAACAAAGAAGGAGGGAGGAAGGAAAGGGATTTCATTTTATATGCATTCTCTCCTCATCCCCATTGGAAAAACATATGGATGAAAAGGGAAATTATGCAATACAGGTGATGCCAGTGTTAAATTAAATTAAGATCATATGTTTTTCTGTGGCAGCTGTAATCCTTTGATTGTAAAAGAGGTCATATTAATGAAGTACATTCCAAACAAGTATTAACAAATTGCTTATGTGCAGAAATAATTAGGAGTGCAGATAGTGAGATGATTTACAATAATCTTTTTTAAGAGTAAGCTTAAATTTCAATTTATAATCTACCAGTTATTCAGTTTCATTTATGCATTAGGAGTTGTATCAAAAGAGTTCTCATAGTGGCAGGTTTAAAGAAAAAGAATGTATATATAAGTGTATGGTGCTAAAATATACCATAAGTGCATTTGGAGAATGCAATCTTCAGATATCAATTCACAAATTTCTACAAAATATGTAAATCCCTTAAAATCTATTAAATTATAAATAAGGAAAGTATATTGTGGGTCATGGAATATTTGTTTTTCTGTAATGCCAAAATATGAATATTTAAATATATTGGGTATCACTGTGCTAATTATTTGTAATTGTGGTGTGTGTGTATATAAGTGAAATACTATATCAGACAAAAGTGGTTATAGAAAAACTATTCTTGTTATAGATAATGAAAATGCCATATAATCATATGAAAATAGCATTACTTTTGCATCTTTTGTGGACAGAATGACTCTAAATCAAAAGCAGAAATGTCTGATACTATGTTTGTTTGTTTGTTTCCTTTCCTGTCCCCGCAGAATCTGAACACCTACATAGAAATTTCCACAGCACTGTGTGATATGGTTGGCCTAGGTAGAGCATATCAAGCTATAGCCAAGGTCCTGGTAAGGTAGGTTAGCACATCCTTGTCTTGCTGTCAGTACAGATTCATTCAACTGTGAAAAACTTAAATTGTTAGAGGTCCGTCGCTTCCCATTACTGACTGCTTAAATTTTAAGCAGTGCCCTTCCTACAGTAAGTGACCCTTTCATTGTAAGTTATTTTAAACGCCCAGTTTTTTAAAAGTGTATGATCAAAGCTTTTCTTTACCTCTAAACCATGATCTCTCTGTTGTTATTTTTGTGGAGTTTTTATTTTTGAAACGTTTAGAAAAGGCCTTGCTGAAAGATAGAAATCTCAGCATATTTTATAGGTTAAAAAGCAGAAAGCCTAAAAAAATACAGTATGCTTCACTAAGTGCCTCAGTGTAACCTTTCTAGAACTTTTTTAAGGGAAGTTTCCATTTAATGTTCTACATCCCTTTTTCCATGGAGACCTTTGTGTTTTGAGCACATAATGGTAAAATATTTGTTACAAATATGATTCTAGTCTTGCTCTATTGTTTCAGTTCGGAATATGAATCTTTAAAGCTTATGCAAAATAATTACTTTGAAATCAGAACTGAGCTTTTTACAAAAAATCATTGATACAATAAAATACAGGGCAATTAACATATGATCAATAAAAGGAACTTCAATGTTAAGGTTTATGGCTTATCCTTGACTCATCCTGTAGTGATGAGCATATATGATGCCCGCTGTAAAATGGCAAAATGTTTAGAGACTCTTCCTCTTCATAAAATTAACATTTATAAAGGAGAGAAGCAACTGTAGCAGGTGGGAGTGGAGAAGAGAGGCTGGTCAGACAAAGCTTACATTTTCTTTCTCATTCTGAAAGTATTCAGGGAACAACGTTGCTACTGTCAAGCAGCTGCTTTATTTTTTTTAGTGATGCATGGTACATTTTTTCAAAAGTATTTTTAAGTGATGTAAGTACAAATTCACAAAATAATTTGGCATTGTGACACTGAGCATTGTGCCACTTACTGTTTAGGTGCCTGACTGCCATAATGCAGACAAGGTTCTTTCGGTAGAGGTGATATCTTGTATTAGACCAACTAAATAGTCGGAAGAATTGTTCTTTGATAGCTTTTGGGCACAAACACCCTTCTTTGGGCAAGAAGATTTTGGTTTTAAGTGTATAAGTTACGTTTTTAAGTGTTTGTGCCCAAAAGCTTGCAAAGAGCAATTTTTCCAACTATTTAGTTGGTCTAATAAAATATATTACATCTACCCAAAGAATCTTGTCTGCCAATGTCCTTAGACCAACACAGCTACAACCAACAACCCTGACTTCAGTAATGGAATCCATAGCCCTGAGATGCATGTGTAGACTCCATGTGCAATGTATGACAAAAGTTAGGCACCTTAGGATCCACAAAAACAGCACACACTAGGGCATGGCTTCAGCTAGCCAAGAGGAAATGTTCAGACCAGGGTTGTGCCAATAATCCTGCCCCTGTCTTCAGGCAGTCTCTCCACTTGGGGGACACAGTCCAAAACCATCTCCTGAAAGTAGGTACTGTAAAGGTCTTTTTAATGAAAGCAGAGGGTCCCTCTTTTCTTTGAAAACAAAGATAAATCACCTCCAAGGAAACTTCTCTACATACTTAGCAATAGACTATTCTAGGTTTGATGAGGGAGTGAATCTCATCCCTTCCTCGTAAAGCTGTTCTATTTTGCAGAAATATGAAACATGAATAGGAAGGAGGGGAAGAGGGTGAGAGAGAGAACATGACTGTAGTGAAGTGGCTATGGCACTCAGTTAGTGATGGGAAGTCCTGTGTTCCAGTCTATTTCAGTATTTTATCCAGTGACTGTTTAATGTAGAATGCATAAATAAATCCTTGGATTAGGGATTAAAACTCAGGACTCCAATAACTGTCCTAACTACTAGGCATAGAAATGTTCTCTCTCCCTCTTCTTTTTGGCACCATGGATTTTTAAGTCTTTTCATCAAGGAGGAACAGGAGGAAATGAAAGAGGTGCCAACATCACCACCACCACCTATCCTAAATACAGTGTATAATCTGGTAGTAAGTACAGGGGAGCTGTAGGCTTGACTCTCCTTAGGCAGAGGTAGGAATTTAAACCAATTTCCCCATGTGTAAGTTGGGTGCTCTAAACATCACACCACTGCATAAACAAGGAAGGGAAAGACTGTGCTTTGAAGTGGCTCAATCCAACCCCAGTCCAACAGGTATGCTCAGAAAATGTCTACCAAGTCAAACCTCTCAGGCTGCACTGGAGATAGGCCAAGTTTATGGATCCTGACAGGACTCTGCTTTCAGATATACAGTGAGCTACTCAGTCCTCTCAAAACTGAGGCATTACTGGTCATACTCTGAAGTAGAACTTTAAGTACCTAGGGAACTTTCATGTCAAAACCTGGTGTGCTACAGACTTTAGATGTCTCTAGATTTAGGGAGCACCTTAGAAAAATATTTAAGGTCACAGTTTGGGACATAGGCTTCTAAATTCTACTTATGTCCCACTTTAAGAACCTAAATTATATTGTCTTATCCTACATTTCCTTGAAAGTTAACACTAGTGAGGTGCCTAAACACCTTTGTGGATCTGAGTCTTAGAGCCCATTTGAAACTTTTAACCCTTTACCTTGTCTGCTAGCCTCCTAGGCCATGTCCATGTCAGCATGGACATCTGTTTCCTTGGAGAACACCTGTGGCATGCACCCTATGGTGTGCAGCAGGTTACCCCAAGTGGGGTAGGGGAGTCTGGGGCCAGCCCCGAGCTGGCCCCTTCAGCCTTACCTGGGGTCCTGGGATCCTCCTGGGGCTGCAGGAGTGGCAATCTACCACTTGGAACCTGGCCAGCAGCTGGAGTGTGGCTTTGGCTGGCTAGGCTCTGGTTTTGGGTCACACACACTGCCCCTGTGTGCACTGCTCTGCTTTTTTTTGCATGGGCTTTTTGTGACCCTAGGATCTCCTGGAATCACCACCCCCGCCCCTCCCCCTGCCACTCTGTGCTGCTACCTTACAATGTGGAGACCACCAAGATGTGCAGTGTGTGTTGCTGCAGACATGTCTGCAGCTCCACATACTACACAGCTGTGCTCATCTGGATGTGTCCCTAAGGTATATGCAAGGGGTTGGTCAGGAGGGAGGAAAAACCCTGAGTAGTCCTGCTAACTAAATAGTAATAGAAATGCAACCCCTGGCAGATTTGTCAGTGAAATACTGGGAGCATACAAGTGTTCATTCTTGTGAGAGAGTTTCTCTTGCAAAGGAGATCTTCCAGGTTGAGACATAGAAGATCTTTCTCCAAGAAGGGGGACATTTCTGCCCAGAGAAATTGAATGAAAACTTGTATGCTTGTAGTTTCTACTGGGAGAGCTGCAACTCTTCTGGTAGAAATGTAACCCATATACATGGCCACTGTTATTGTTCAGAAACCAATACCTGCTCTTAATGCAGTGTTGAGAAGTTAGTGATTCATCAAAATGTCAACTGAACTATAGGTAACAGCTCCATAGATTTGATGTTTGCTATTGATGTTAATTTATGCTGTTGAGCCTGCTAAATCCTTTGTTTATTGCACCCAAAGGACTTATAGCACACAGGAACTCCATGTAGTTTAAACACGATTGGATAAATTACCTTAGCCACATAAAAGACTGTATGATGAACCAAGATGCTTATTCTGTTAGACTTTTACCCAAAGTCTCTAGCAGTCTGCCTTTCTAAACAATTTAGGTCTAAGTAAGTCATGAAAGGCCCTTCCATTACATGTGATATATATCTACCATCTACGCTTATGAAGTTTGCCAAATTAGATATTGATGGTAGCAGTGATTCTCCTGTAGGGTAGTGTGGAATGCTGGAGTGCCATGATATCCTTTTAAGTGTGCTACACAATATTAACTTTGTTAGTTGTGAGTTGTGCGAAAATTCACAAGATCAACTTCGAGATTTCAAATAAGAAGTCATAGTGTCAAAAACATTCCAATCTGCTGTGGTCTTGTGAGTTCTTTGCAAAAAAATTGCTATATTATTTTTCTGGAATAAAAAAATGATTGAAGTCTAAGAGCAGGCATTTTCTGAGGTGTGTCCCAAATCAAGAAAGGTTGAGAACCATTGGGCTGTAGACTAAGGTAAAAAGGTAATGTACTTTTCATAAAAAAAATTTGGGAAAGTCCATGCATCACTTTCTCTGTGAAATATAGTATAAGGAGGACTACTTATTAGGGTTGTGCAAATCTTCAGTCACTGATTCAGTTCAAAGAAGATTCAACCTGATTAGGTGGCTGAATCTCCAAATTGAAATTGAATCAAGAGACCCTTTAATCTCTCCGAGTTGAATCAGAACCCTCTGAATTGATTCGGAGAGATTCGATGATTCAGACATAGACATAGCTTTAAATGTTTTTTCTATATACCTCAAGGTACCAGGTGGCTCATGAATGCTGAGATGGTGGGGCGGATGGAGCGTCCCACAGGAGCTCCATCATAAGCACTTCTGGTCCACTTCTCGGTCCTCCATGGACTGCATGGGGGACCTCTGCCCTCAGCTCCATGACTAGTGCCTCCTGGGTCTGGGGGGACAGCCAGGGTCCCCTGGCAGCATGCGGAAGGGGACCCACCCATGCTCCTGTGGACCGTTCCATTTGCTCCACCATCTCAGCATTCATGAGCCGCACCTGGTACTTGAGGTATGTAGAAAAAACATCTAAAGCTGTATCTATGGCTGAATCACTGATTCTCCAAATCAGCATCGAATCTTCAGATTCAGCCTAATTGAATCGGGGCAGTAATCCAAATCAACTAATCAAATCACAGTCCCCTGAATCAGGCCAAATTCAAATCTGAATCAAATACAGCACACTTCGCACACCACTCCTGCTTGTCAGTCCTTGCAGTTCTGAGACCTTGTGAGAATATTACCTCAAAAAGTAATGGTCACTAAGAAAAAATACATAAGGGAGGTACAGACCATGAGGTCCCATTAGCTTCAGAGGACCCTTCTATAAATGTGGTTAGCAACATATTAAAATCCCAAGGATAAGAAGAATCCCAGATGGATCATCCTAAGAAATCCTTGTCCCATCAGAAACTAGAGAAATTCTAAGATAACTGGAAATGAATATGGTAATAGATTGTGGTCTCATTCTTAAATGAGTCTTTATACCAGTTACATTTTGCCACATAACCCCCTCCCCAAGTGGACAGCTTTCTAGAGTCAAACAGATGAATACAAGACAGCTTGATCTTAGACATCTAATAGCTGCATTGTCAAGTGTTCAGAGGTTTGAGAGAAGTTTGTTCAGAGGGAAAGTCAAAAGCTCTAATAAGTAGATCTGTTCATAAATAAGATCACCCTGGTCCAGTAAGTACTGAGAGGATCAGAGGAAATGGAAGACAAGTATAAAAAAATCCTTTTCCCAATGTTAAAACAGACATTTGATAAACATCAGTCCCTGTTCCCTCTCTCACACAGTTTGGAATGCACATTGTTCTGGCCTGTGGCAAACATCCACGTCTGAATGACCCACTCAGAATATGTTGGATGAGTCAGTGAAGGCTTGACCAATCAATTACCCATGGTAATCTTCAGACTTCAAACTCAGATTGTTTCCTAAAATGTGTTTATACCTCATGCAGCATAGACTAGGTCACCTCATTTTAAATGTTCTGTGCCACAGAAGGCTTCTTGAACCCAAAGTGGAGTGTGCTTCCTTGTCTATTGTTCCCTATAGAATATGTTTTAGTGCTTTGTCTGGGCTACTGTAGATGTCTCAAGACACAGTATTTCTGTGATTTTCTTTGGAAGACCATGCTACCATCTGATAGCAGAACTCTTTGCTGATTGGCATATATAAAGATCAAACTGTAAGAATTATCTTTTTGTTATAAATCAAATTAATTTCTGTTTGCTTGAGAGAGATGATATGCCCTAATAATTTCCATAATTTCTATAAATTGTACATAAGGTCTTTGATGTAATATATCCAAAAATGACCAAAAAATACATCAAAACATTTCTATTAATTCATGAAATTAAGAAAACCTTTTTACATTTTCTCCTGTCACTGATTCCATTTGCCTTATTACTTTCAGCCTCCAGCCCACAAACTTGGTGGCACAATCAACAAACCCCTTAGTGGCTGTTTCATCTCTGCTCTATTTGATTTCTCCACTCTGAGTAAATGATTAAGTTTTCATGCATTGGTTCAACCAAAATCTATGTTCACTCAACCACATCCTTTATTGATTACTTCTACTGCAAACAGTAGGCCAAGTGTGATATACATAATTGGACAGTTGTCAAGGGATGTGGGTGTTAACAGTCCTGTTTTCCCAGTTGGAAACTGGAATCACCTTGATACACAAATATTCTGCACTGTTTCATTCTCATTCTTTGGACCGAGGAGTCCTTTTCCACAGAATATATGTTTTTAACTCTCTAAGGTCTGGTTGAATGGATTTAATGATTATACCATATAATATGCTGTTCAAGTTGCACCTGTGCACTGCATATAGAAAACTAGAAAAACTGGAATTAATATTTGTCTAACACTTTAACCTTGTATTTTAACTTATATAAATCATGTTCTATGCTTCTGTGAGGAAATATTTGATTTTTCTCCCTTTTGGAAGAAAGATAGATTTCCAAAAATTGTGCTTCTGATTCTAAAATTTAGAAGCCCTTTGATATTTGGCAGTTGTTAACAGTGCAATCAATATATTTCAGATCTTGTGCTATTTAAATAACTAATGGTAATAAGTAGAATAGCAGTCATTTAAAAATATGTGTCTGTGACACAGCCTTGACACTTTAAACACTGTCAGTTTTTGGGTATTTTGGCAGCCTACTGGAAGAATGCAGCTAACTCCAAACATAGATAAGTGGTCACCGCAATACTGTAGATTTGCACTGAGGCTTCACTGTTTTTCCTGCTCAGTGGCAGGAGCTTCTCTAGTCTGAATACTTTTTTTTTTTCATAAGCCAATTAAGGAACTCTGGCAGGCTTAGCCCTGCCAAATTCTGGAAACATGTATCTCTAATATGTTTTATATTAAAACCTGTAATTTAAATAAGGCTCAGTCAGTCATTTGCAGGTGGAATGTAATTTAAAGGTGTTTTAAAATAGCATGAAAATAAATAACCGTTATTCCTCGCTTATAAAAACTGTTTCTGTGCATTTCTAAATTAAGCCTGGCATTTTTTTCTTTTTTTGGCTGGCTTATTGGCTTGACATTTAGCATACTTCCACAGTAGAGACACAGGTTCACGGTTAATATTGAGGTCAGCTGCAGTGACACTCACAGCCTTAAAGAGAAAAAGAGTGCAGTGCCTCACTCACTAGCAAACCCAAGCAGCTGATTCATATCTTGTAACCATAGTGCAGAGCTGCTATATTGTTAATATGACCAGTTTTATTAAAAAATATGTGCAAATGTTATTGTCAGAGTACATTAGCCACTTTTCAACCTAGATTCAGAAGTGACCTCAGGTTGCTTAGATCTCATTGGGATTTCTAGGTGACACCTGCAAGCCACAGTTTATAGAGTAGGCTATATGACTGCTGCAGCCTGTGGTCTACCCAGCCGAAGTGCGGCATTACATTCTAAGGGAGGTTATCAGCATACACGACTTTAGAGTTACTGCCATTATATTGCAGCTGATATTCAAGAGAGGAAAGGATTCTAATGTAGAAAGTGATTCTCATTAAGGACAGGAACAGAAAAATGTAAGAGCAAACATTATCCCCTGCTCTGATTTGGTTGCTAGGTTTGGGTCTAGCTTGTGTACAAAAATGTGTGATCAAGTACTGATTAAATAAAACATCACTTTAAGAGTGAGGGAATCTTAGAAAACCCATGTGAAGTAATCATCTCTTTTTCACTTTTGATACTGAAAAATAATACAATATTCTACAAATTTATGGCAAAGCCAAAGGGCCTAATTTTTCCCTTAGTGGTCACTAAGTATCAGAGAAGCAACATCTATGCAGATGAAAACAGAACTGGATTTCAAATTTCATCCCAAAGCAAATTATTAAATTCATTTCTATGGACCATTGCAAAATAAGACTCACATGAGACACAGGGATAGATGCTCAGCTGTAGTCTGTTGCTATATGTAAAGAAACCATCTCAATAAAAGTTTAATTAGAATTGTAATTTGTTTTAGCCAGGGAAAAGTGACTGAGGCTATTAAGTACTTGGAAGAGTTTGTGAAGGTTGCCAAGAGTGCTTATCTAAGCCGCAGCCTTGTGGATGCATGTGTATTCCTTGGAGATATCTACAATGAAAAAGTGAGTATAGTTATAATGATGATGCAAAACAGCTGGTTTTACTTCAGAGTCAAGACATAGTTCTTATATCAGAATGTCCTGTCAGTTTAATGATTCATATATATTTTGGTTTATATAGGAGTTTCTTTTCATTGCCAAATTACCAAAGAAGGGCTATGAATTGAAATCTGAAAATATGACAATTTTGAGGGCAAGATTAAAATGAATTCGTAAATCTAGAACCAAATTTCACACATAGCACATGACTCTATTAAGAGTCAAACAAAAACCCCAAATCAAGACCATCACAAATTTTACTGTTGTCAAAAACCTAGATGCAAATTTGTAGCTTGGACCCATCTAGATGAATTAATAATTAAACTACAAATACATATATGTTGTAAGTTGTAGCTACTGCTTTTTGAAAATTAACAAATTGACAAAAAATGGCATACTTATTTAGTGGCAATCATACGCTTTTAAGCCTCATATACTGTATGGCTTCTGTCATCAAAGTTGTAGGAAGTGGCTTCCGGTAACAAGTCAGTCTGTCAGAGGGAATAAATCAGCAGTGCAAATTTTCTCTATGTATCCCCTCCATTTTGTGACCTCAGTTTAGCCTGTGCAACCCAGAAAGAGAGAACAAAGCCAAGGTTGGAGAGTACTCAGGAAAAGCATAGGTTTAATATATCTCCCACCTGTTTCAGTTCCTTTCAAACTCTGCCCAAATCATTAAACTGACTTTCCTGTATGGATTCCAAGGAGGGCAGTAACATCCTAGGAGTGAGCCATTTCACCCTTCTGTACCTAAGTGGCACTTCCATAGAAGGAGAGTAGCCACAGGGAGCATGTGATTCAGTAACAGGATGTTTCCTGGAAAGGAGAGGGTCTGCAATTTTGGCCTTGGGCCCTGTACCCAATGTGGCAGAAACTATCCCACTGCTGTTTCTCAGTTTATCCAATTAATATTAAAGGCAGTGTACAATAGGAATTGAGTCCAGGACCTAGGGCCCCCTCCCTTCTGGGCATTATCCCTCTCACTGGACATGTCTACACATGCATTAATGCACCTGTAATAACCAGTACTAACTTAATGCACTGTAATTGGCACTAATGCATAGTAGCACCAGCACACGCCTTTTAAGTGATACTAGTGCACAGTAGAATAAGTCTACTGTGCATTAGCACTTTCACTGTGACACACTAATGCGCAGTAGAATTAGTCTACTGTGCTTTTAGCATCTCTGAGTCACATACTCCCTCTGGCTTATTCTTCTCCCCAGGCTCACATATTTTCCTGACTGCCCAGTGAGCCAACAAGGTTGGAGGGTGCTCCAGGCAACACCTAACCCATGACTTGCAGGTTAAAGCACTTAGCTGGGAATTGAGAGATGCAGATTGAAACCCCTTCTAGAGAAGGATGGGCCCAGAGCTAAGAGCTCCCACTTCCTGGGCAAGTGTCCTAACTACTGCCCTATTGAGCTAAAAGGTAGAAGGGCCTTCTTTCTCATCCAAACAGTTGATAGTTGTGGGGATTTTTTTCAACTAAAGTTTTGGGACTTACATGTTGGCACATGCCTAGCCAAATCTTTTTGTCACCCCAGAGTCTGCACAGAAATAGTGAACCTTCTAGGCAAGTTCTTAAGACTTACACAGTAGGGCTGTATGAACCTTCAGTCCCTGATTCAATTCAACGTAGATTTGGCCTGATTCGGTGGCTGAATCCCCCAATCCAAATCAAATCAGAGGACTCTTTAACCTCTCTGAATCAAATCAGAACCCTCTGAATTGATTCGGAAAGATTTGGAGATTCAGACATAGGGACAGCTTTAAATGTTTTTTCTACATACCTCTAGGTAGCAAGAGCTCATAAGTGCTATGATGCTGGGGCACATGGAGTGTCCCACAGAAGCACAAGGGGCTCTCCAGCACACTCCACACTTCTGGTCCACTTCCAGGTCCACTGGGGAGCATGCTGGGGGGGTCCCTGTGCCCCCCGGCTTGGTGACTAGTGCCTCCTGGGTCTGGGGGAGAACCCAGGGTCCTCCTGAGGCCGTTTGATGAACGGGGGGGTGTGGGGGCCCCCCCCAGCATGCTCCTTGGTGGACCTGGAAGTGGACCAGAAGTATTTCTGGTCCACTTCTGGGTTTGCCGCTGAGCATGTGGAGGGCCCCCCCATGCTCCTGTAGGATGCTTCATGTGCCCCAGCATTGCAGCAATTACAAGCCATGCCTAGTACCTCGAGGTATGTAGAAAACACTTTTAAAGCTGTATCTATGTCTGAATCACTGATTCTCTGAATCAGAATCAAATCTTCAGATTCGGCCAAATCTCATCAGGGACAATGAGCTGAATCAACTAATCGAATCACTATCCCTGATTTGGGCCAAATCCAAATCAAATAGGGTCTGCTTCGCACACCCTTATTACACAGGTGGAAATAGAATCTAAACTCTGCATATATGTCAGCTGTACTTGTGTGGCTACCAATGCTACTGCCCTTTCATGGATAGGAGATTTGCCCACCTTGTGCCACAGTGCTGAATTAATCAAGCAGATATATAAAATATCACTCAAAGGACAAAAGTATCAGTTTTGAAGCCAGCTCTTTTAAAGTTGCAATGTTACATTAAATCATATGGAATTGCCCTCATTTTCATATAATACTCTCCCAAATAAGCTATGAACCCTGATTTTTTAAAATTCAAAATGAAGAAAAAATATTGTCTCCTTAAAATGCTGGTAAGTAGCAGTAAGTAACTGAGTAACAGCTTCTACAACAAAAGCATCTGATTGAGGAGGCAGCAGGGAGAGAAGCATATTTACAGACAGCAACTAGGGAACCTGAGGAGCAGCAAAAACAGTATTATTTTCAGTTTCCCAGATAGAAGCAGAAACTGCTTATTACCATATTTCTTCACATATACATTTCTTCTGCACACCTCAATTTCCAGCAGCTGAATTTTGGGGGAAAGTGCATATTGTATATAAGAAAATACAGTAATAAGTAATAAAAAAATGTAGAAGTCTTGCTTATGCAGAAGCTGACAAAATGCAGAGTAGCATTTTCACTCTGTATAAATCATAAATAAATCAATCATTTAAAACTTTGTTTTCAATATTATTAAAGACAGTCCTTAGTTGAACCTGCCACATTAATGAACAGTGACTAAGAGGGGGCAACTCGGGCACCAGTGCAGACCTGCTGAGTAACACCTCCACTAAAAATCAACAACTCAGGTATTGAGAGTTCAGTGTTTTGGGGTGAGGTTACATGTTACACTTAGACAATACTAAATCTGTGGAATGTTAAGTGGTGTTAAAGTTAGAATGTGCTGCATGGGCGACTGGTGCTTCCTGATCCTGGGGGGCACCAGCAGCTGATCGCCAGCTGCGGGGGGGGAGGGGTAGTCCCCACAGCAGCCAATCATCACCACCGGTGGAAGTGCCAGCAGCAAACCAGAAGTACCAGCGGCAAACCCAGAACTGCTGACGGCACTTCTCTCGGCGCCCCCACATTCCCGGGGGAGGGCACCAGCTGTTGCCCCCCACACCCTGGCCAGCTAGGGCCAAACTCAAGGCTGGCACATGTCCCC